GATGGGCTATTACCAGCAATATATGTTGGAGTTAAAAGGTCAAGATGTGAATTATCTTGCGTTCGGGAGTGGAAGGCGAGGATGTCTTGGAGCTTCTCACGCTTCTCTGGTGCTGAGTCTCACAATAGCATCACTCGTGCAGTGTTTTAACTGGACGGTGAAGGGAGACAAAGATAAATTCAAGATCATATTACCTACCGGCTTTTCGGCTTCAGGCACTGCTGGAGGAAGCTCACTTACGTGTTCTCCTGAATTATGTTTTGATCCATTTGGACACAAAATTGAATAAACATCATTAGGAATTTGGAAACATATATACTGTGCTCAATTATTCTCATGCTCTGTTATTCTCATGTTCTGTTTCTGTTCTGTTTCAGACTTTTGATGAAAATATTTCATTCTTGTATAATCACACAAATATAATTATGTATACTTTTCTATAACTTCCGAGCTCTAAATCTTACATTCAGTAACTGATTAGTAACCTAACATCGCCTAAACAATGAAAACATTTTTAAATTTGTTAACAGATAATGAAAGCTTAGCAACGGTCAAGTACACATTTTTATAATATTATTTGTTTAGAAAACGACATAAGATGAATATACAATAAAACAGGATCAAAACCAGAGATTATACCCTTACAAAAGAGACAAAAACAGAACAAAGACAACAAGAGATAATAAAGAATCTTGAAGTTGGGATTAATATTTGATACCATGAGGAGTCATAACTTGATTCTATCATATAAGATCATCTTAATATCACTCTCATACACAAACAAAAATGAGAATGGTGGATTTGCAATACTTCTTTGTAACAATCCTTCTATGCCTTGGGATTACAGTCTTGATCCAAGCCATTACAAACAGATTACGCAACAAACTACCACTCCCACCAAGCCCAACAGCTTTACCAATCATCGGTCACATTCACCTTCTTGGTCCCATAGCTCACCAAGCACTCCACAAGCTCTCAAACAGCTATGGACCCTTGATGTATCTCTTCATTGGCTCCATCCCTAATCTTATTATCTCATCGGCCGAGATGGCAAATGAGATTCTCAAATCCAATGAGCTCAACTTCCTCAACCGTCCCACAATGCAAAACGTTGACTACCTTACTTACGGCTCAGCGGATTTCTTCTCAGCCCCTTATGGGCTTCACTGGAAGTTCATGAAGAGAATCTGTATGATGGAGCTCTTCAGCAGCAGAGCATTAGATAGCTTTGTTTCTGTGAGAAGCGAGGAGTTAAGGAAGCTTCTGAATCGAATTCTCAAGAAAGCAGAAGCAGAAGAGAGTGTTAATCTCGGTGAACAGCTTAAGGAATTGACAAGCAACATCATAACGAGAATGATGTTCAGAGAAATGCAACCGGATAGTGATGCCGGAGGCAAAACAGAGGAAGTTATCAAAATGTTGGTGGAGTTGAATGAGCTAGCCGGGTTTTTCAACGTTTCTGAAACGTTTTGGTTCTTGAAAAGGCTTGACTTGCAAGGACTCAAGAGGAGGCTCAAGAATGCTCGAGACAAATATGATTTAATCATAGAAAGAATAATGAAAGAGCATGAGTATGTGAAGAAGAAGGATGCAGGAGCAAGGAAGATGCTAGACATTTTGCTCGACATATATGAAGACAAAAACGCAGAGATTAAGCTTACAAGAGAAAACATCAAGGCCTTCATCATGGTAACTTCAACATTCATGTTTTGATATAAAATTTTCACAAAGCCTCAAAATAGTTTAATTCATTGTTATACAGAATATTTATGGGGGAGGAACAGATACATCTGCAATAACAGTAGAATGGGCTCTAGCAGAGCTAATAAACCATCCTGAGATCATGAAGAAGGCGCAACAAGAGATAGAGCAAGTGGTGGGAAACAAGCGAGTGGTTGAAGAATCAGATCTGTGTAATCTCAGTTACATCCAAGCAGTGGTGAAGGAGACGATGAGGTTACACCCTGGAGGACCAGTATTCGTAAGGGAATCTGATGAAGAATGTGGGGTGGCTGGATTCAGAATCCCCGCGAAAACAAGAGTGATAGTTAACGTTTGGGCTATTGGAAGAGATCCAAATCAATGGGAAAATCCATTAGAGTTTAGGCCTGAGAGATTTGAAGGGATTGAATGGAAGGTTATGAGTGAGAAGATGATGTCTTTTGGTGCTGGGAGAAGAAGCTGTCCAGGAGAAAAAATGGTGTTTAGATTCGTCCCAGTCATTGTAGCTGCAATAATACAGTGTTTTGAGCTGAGAGTGAAGGGACGTGTAGAGATGAATGAAGGGACTGGATCATCTCTGCCTAGAGCCACACCTTTGGTGTGTGTTCCTGTTGCTAAAGAAGCTATACAATCATATCTCCACTTTAACTGAAAAAGCTTAATGGTTTTAGAAGAAGAAAATGAATAAAAGCAAGAAAACTACCACTTGTGTAAAGAAAAAGAAAAAAAAAACACTTTACCGTATTTTACAAAACTTGGTTTCTGCAAAATTTAGTTTGCAACATACAAAGAATGTATGTGAAGTAACAAACTGGACAATATCATATTGTAAAATTTAGTGTAAAACCATCTATCTATATAACAAGAGGTGAGAGACTCAAAAAGCATTTACCTGCATCAGTTTTCACAAAGACAGTGTTAGGATGTCTCCTGCTCCAACATTGTAATGTGCAAGTGACATGTTGTCTTTCAAGAAACATTCTAATTATTATTATTATTGGTTTCACAAAATCGCCGCTACAAAATATCAAATCTAGTGAAATAGGATGATTGACGCAGATATAAGTAAGTCCCATGGGATGAGAAGAGAAAGAGATCGATATGAAAAAATTAATTAT